AACAGTAAACATCCAAACAAACCGATGTTTTGACCAACATTCTGTAAATCACATGTACAGTAAAACATGATGATAACGCCTGATCTTAAGATGTCGCCATAAAAATATATGAAAGTATCATTTCTGAATGTTTTTAGAGCTTTTTTTATGTGAAGGTCAGCAAAACATTAAGAGAATATTCTATATTATCATTCTTCAAACATTATGGAAAAATTACTTTCGAATGTTCTTAAACGAGTTGCAACATTTTAAAAACGTTGATGAACATCAACTAAAACATTCCAGAATAAATATTCCATTAATGATGTATATATACAATAATGTTTTTGTGTTAATGTTTTCAGAACATTATTAAAGACCAGAAAACTTTGAATGAACGTTATATAAATGTTACTGTAAGAACGTTTGTTCATAATCTCTTATAAAATCCTGGTTAAACTGTGATCATCACTGACACTCGACTGCTGTTCCTCTGTGGGGTTTAACTGTGTGACAGATATTAATAATCACATCAAATAATACAATATACAGACTTTCAGTTTAAGAGCAGAAGTCACTGAAGAATTATTAATATAAAATCACAGAGAAAACAAGAGTTTGTCTTCAGTGACGACAGTTTGAAGACTATAAAGGCCTCTTAAAATAAAATATTTCGTTACACAAATGAATTTATAATAAACACCTCATGGAAATATGAAAAATATAGTAAATGTTCCTCTTATTGATATCGATCCATCAGTGCATTATATTATTATAAGTGTTATTATATATATATATATATATATGTGTGTGTGTGTGTGTGTGTGTGTGTGTGTGTAATTATAAAGCAGCACAATGTTAGTCTTCATAATCTTTCATCATAAAGTAATAAATTGATAACCTGAAACAACTTTTCTTTTCTGTTTACTGTAATGCATATACATTCTCTGAAACACTTTATGTCGATATCAGTTTATGAGTTATTAGAGTATTAATAAACCCTCTGGTTAATATTTACTGACTTTATTTTGATGCTCCTCAACAGACTATAACTTTACATAAACTTATATACAAACTATAACTCAAACTATACAAACTATAAATAATAATTATTGTAGGCTACTAATACTGAGAGTTAGTTACATGTACATTTATTTCTGTTCTATTCATGTTTTCGCTCTAGTTTTTGGGGAAGATATATTGGTCCGGGTATCGTTCGTTCATTTGTTTTTGCTTTCATATATGAAAACGAAAAAAGTAGAAAACAACTCCTTTTTTCGTTTTTTCGTTTTATTTGAAAAACGAAAAAACGAAATTATGACTTGATTTTTGGTTTTCTCGTTTTTGCACGGAAATCAGAGAAACCACTTGATATTCCGATTTTCCCCTGTGGGTGGGGCTAAATCTGATTGGCATGATATGCATTCATTATTTTTCAAATTAAGAGTTTTCCAAACACTGTATTTGTTAGCCTGTAAAATTAATAGTCTATATGCATGCTATTTGTCACCCAATTATTTGGCTTCACTGACTGAAAAAATCTATTGAAATAGCCTCAATGTAAACATTTTCACGCATTGAAGTTGTCACGGTGGTTATCAAACAAAAGGCAGAATGGAGAGAAGGCCCTTCTTATTGTTTATATTGCATTCCATCGCAATATAGGTTACTTTTGCCTTCCCTATACTCCTGCTCACTACAGTTTAGAGGATGCCTTGTTTCAAGACAATTATTGGCAAACACCTACAGTAGTCAACCAGAATGCCTATTATCGCCGCAGAAAAAATAAACCAGTCGCATTTCAAGTAGGCTACTTCGCGAAATGACCTCCAGGTGGCGCAAATGGATACTGTGCAAAACAGCAGCAATTGCCGCATTTTGAAATGTAAGCGGGGTTAATGTCAATTAACAGAAAGGACGAAAAACTACAACTATGGTAAACAGAATATATTTTTTAGGCCAGAAAACGAGAACAATATCCTATATTTCATATTGTAGGCCTATCTAGACGTCGGTTGGCGACATAAGCCTCTTCCCCGGGGGAGCAGCGCGATAACAAAACATAAAAATAAATAAATTAGGTGCAATGAAGCTGATTTTTACTATTCTATTGAGGAATGAATGAAGAGCGCTTTTAGTCCAAAAGAGCGCACATTTAGAAAAAAAATAGTATGTTCACGTCTCATTACTTTAGAGAGAATTATTATTTCTATAAATTTGTTCACTAAATGATGTGCTCTCGAGGGGTTTGAGTGCTCTCTCCACTGCCACCACAATAGAATAAGAATAGGCCTATATGTCATCAAAATGAAAAAAAAAACGAAAAAAAAAAAAACGTTTTATATAACACAAGCCTATAATATGTAAGTTATCACACCAGCAAAAGTGCTGATTTTCTGAACATCTGCACAATCGCAAATGGGAAATGATACAACAGTTCAATAAAGTTACTGAGTAACTTTTATAGATAGGCTACATTCTTTTTTTGCTCCGTCCAAGAAAACAGAGCAAACAGCAGAACCGCTGCGCCTCCGGGCAACACGCGTTTTGTTCTATGGTTTTGTTCCTCAAAATATCTGCATTTTTGACAGAATTAGACGAGTATGATTCATGTAGACTACCCATTCATAAATACAGTCGTTTGTTAGGTTAAGCGAATTAGGATTTTTAAACGACTTGTTTGAATAAAGGATTCAACTCCCTCATTTAGATGGAGACTTGCCGCCACCTACTGGCGCCTGGCGGTGTTAGTTTCATAGACGTTTAATTTTTTTTTCAATCATTTCATATTTCTACCTACAATTGTTTTACATTTAAAACATTAATCTCTTAACATAATTTATGCAATTATAATTTGCTGTGTAAATCATCATGCCATGTCTAAACAGCCTGTGTCAATCCAAAAATGTATTTTATTGGTACCGACTTTCTTTTATTTGGTCATAGTAGCCATACACCGTGTCTTTGCATTCTGATTGAATTTGTTGACTAAATGTAAGAATCTGTCATAAGAGGACAGATATATGACAATGATCCTGCATTATATTGTATTATAATGACGATGTAATATTAGCCTACCACTAAACTTTGACTATATGCCTAGGCATGCTTATTACTTGTTCTAGGAACCTCAAAGCATATTTACATTTTTGTCTAATTTGCTACTCCGTCATGATGTTGTAGGGCCAAAACATTAACTCAAGCCCAGGGGCTCCCAGCCCCCTAAATCTTACCCCCTAAGTCCTGTATGTGCATACAGGCCATACATAACAAATAGAAATATAAAAAATATATTATTCATGAGTATTTAAGTTAATAAAAACATCTAAAACAAAGAATAAATGTATATTATTTAAATTTGTATAATGACAACTGTCAGTGCATGAACACTGGCTTGAATTTAGGCTATTTCAATAGATTTTTTTCAGTCAGTGAAGCCAAATAATTGGGTGACAAATAGCATGCATATAGACTATTAATTTTACAGGCTAACAAATACAGTGTTTGGAAAACTCTTAATTTGAAAAATAATGAATGCATATCATGCCAATCAGATTTAGCCCCACCCACAGGGGGAAATCGGAATATCAAGTGGTTTCTCTGATTTCCGTGCAAAAACGAGAAAACCAAAAATCAAGTCATAATTTCGTTTTTTCGTTTTTCAAATAAAACGAAAAAACGAAAAAAGGAGTTGTTTTCTACTTTTTTCGTTTTCATATATGAAAGCAAAAACAAATGAACGAACGATACCCGGACCTATATTGAAATTACTTACAGAACCTTTAATTAAACCATTAAAAACACAAGGAAGTGGAAACATTATAACAAAATATGTGATATAAAAATATATAAAACACAAACTCCATCATAAACTTTGACAGAGAAAGATTAATATTACACTTCAACCCTCAGTATGAATATATTAATAATGGATTATGCGTTTTTTCACTGTTAATGAAACATGATGTAAGATTCAGTGTGAGTTTAATGCATTTACATGTTAAGAGCTCATATTTAACTATAGATTCAGTGCTGGATATATTATATATGTTATATATTTTTCTTCAGACCTGACACTGAGATGATGTGCAGAAGAACAGAAGATTATGATTATTTGCCGTAGATCTGCTATTAGTGTCTTTATAAATGTCTTTATATAAATAAATAAAAAACACTGATAGAGAAAACAAGCACTGAGAAACTGACCTCCTGAATGTGGACAATATCCACTAGATCCACTAGATCCAATCCATCCCTCCTCCAGGTAACAATCCGGTGGATAGGGCGGTGGACTGGGAACTGAAAGAAAAGTTCAGTTAGTTTAAGATTATAAATAAATGCTTTAAATAATTTCCAACACTTGTGTAATGCTTACTTCCACTGCTCGCTGTAATCTCATCCTCATGTTTAATGCCGAAACCGAGTGTGTGATCATCCTCCAGTGGCTCGAGATCAGAGTTGTCAAGTTTAGTGTTTTTAACTGTGAAGGAACAGCGAACACAATAATCAAAAGTATTTTATACTAATCGTAATAAAGTTTCAAGTTATATTGCCACAAAATGAAGCACAAAACTCATAAAAAAGGTCTGAAGTGTATAAAAGCTGTAACATGTTATTATAAAACATTCCTCCTGAATAAAGGCAGTGGATAGAGCGGTGAACGGGGAACTGAAATGAAAAGGGCAGTGAGTTTAAGACTATAAATAAATGCTTTTAATAATGTCAAATACTAGTGTAAATACTGCATACTTCTACGGCGCACTGCTGTAATATGATCCTCATGTTTAATGCCGTAGAAACCAAGTGTGCGATTCTTCTTCAGTGTCTTAAAGCGGTAGCGAAGTATAGTGTCTGCAACTGTGGAAGAAACATGAGAAACACACACACACACTTCTGAATCTCAGGCTTCTCCGGTAATAAGAGCTGAATCTACATTGAAATACTGATTTTCTTTGTTAACATCTCAATATCCTTCCCACATGTTCGCTAATGCACACAGAAGACTGCAGTGCTGGACTTACGCTGGTCTTCAGGAATGAGTTTTCTCTTTAACTCCTCCACTGTGGTGTTCCTGAACTCCTCTTCTGAATTCGCCACAGAAACTGTTCTTCTCTCGCGTCCGTGTCTCCTATCTATAAAGTAGATCTGGAAACTCATGTTGAATGTGCTCGAACTTTAACTATATTCCCTGGTGATGTAGAAGTAACTGTTCTGATGCACACAGTGGAGGATAGTTTCACTTTCTCTGGTTAAATCCGACATCAGACACACCCACTGCAGGGCATCTGATACAGGACAAGTTTCTACATGTGATTCTTAGACTTACAAAAAGTATTTGACAGTGATTTTGATGTGAATAGTGTGCAGAGAGCAGTCAGTGAACATGTCAGAACATATAGGCTTAATAACGTTAACTATGAATACTGTAGTGTGTGTGTGTGCGTGTGCGTGTGTGTGTACGCGCGTGTGTGTGAGTGTGTAAACAGGTCCAGCCAGATAAAAGGTCCAGTTAAAAATTTCTGCAAGAAAAGGAGAGATAAGTAAAGTTACAGTATCTCAGTTTTCTTAAACGAAATATCACCATTATTCACAATAAAAAAAAAAAAAAAAAAAAAAAAAGAAGAGATCCCCAAAACTCAGTTAAACTCAGCCTCAAACATTAGCATGGGTGAGTTCTGCATCTATAGGCTCAAGCCATGCAGTCAGCTCACAATTAACACACAATAATCAACAAACCAAAACAATACTAAAACAAACCATAACAACGGAAAGAACACAGCAATATGATTTTTTAAATAAAAAAATATTATTTATAATATATTTTTTTACAACAAAAATGAAGCATCACTGAACTTACTGTGACTGTGACGCTATTTTCTTCTGGAAACAAACTTTGTTGCATTATTTTCCTGTTATCACGGTAAAGCTGCTTTGAAACACTGTGTGTTGTAAAGATGATAATAACTTGACGATTGTGCGCTCAAAAGAAGACAAGGATCATCTTCAACTCTTCTCCAGTGTTATCATGGCTGGGAAAAGTCTTTTCCTCTCTGTCTCTTTCTGATCTCCATCAGACTCTCTTCTGTCGTGTCCTTTCCTATCTATGTAATCTATGTAAGTGTAAGAGTTTGTGCGGTCAGAGGACGTTCGATTATACCGGTGCGCAGGAGTGGAATAAGTTGCCATTGGACATTAAGGTTTTAATGTTGGTTTTAGTATATGAGTGAAGAGATTGTTTTTAGATAAGATATAGCTTAATAGATATGGATATGTGTATTTTTTTATTTTATTTTTTTGTCATGAAAATGTCTAGTTAAAAAATCTACCTACACCCACTTTTAATAAAAAATGGGTTGATTTGTTTCGATCCAGTGCAGTCGTCGTCATCATAGGCGTAATTTGCTGGGTTTTCTCACCACTTCTTGAAACATGGCACGGATGCACCTAATACAAATAAATAAAACATCTCCAGTTATCTAGCAGAGCATTCATTTAGTTCGCTATTAAATAAGAGATCTAGCGCTAAAATGTATTGTTTTTTAAATCAAGCTGAGCGCTCGTTTTCGCTGCTATCAGTGTCATAGATACAGTGTTCTCTTGTGGCGCGCGCGCAGTCGCCATTGCAGAAAATCTCTATTCGTTCCGGTGAGATCCCAAAATAAAATGCACACAAACGTGTCCCTGCGTGATATAGACTGTAACCACTGATGAACATATTCAGTTTTGATGAGAGAGAGAAAAAAGTATACGAATGCGGATCACAACCCGTAACCTCTGACACGCTTGGCAAAAGATCACTAGACCATTGAAGAACTCAAACAAAACTCGCGGATCGATGCATTTATTTACGGGTTGCAAAGTTGCAAAGCTGATTTAATTATGGTAAAACTAAATTAATTTACAAAATAGAGTATATATACAGTATATATGTAGTTAAGGTAATTATAATATGTCAGGAATAAAAGGGCGCAGTGGTAGCGTGCCTGTTGCCGAGTCTCAGCGGCTGAGATGGCGTTCTGAGGTTGCGAGGCAGGGTGGTGTGCTGACCAGAGGTGAGGGGGCACAGTGACCCGGACCCCTCGTGGCGCCGACCCTGGAAACACATGATATGATCGTAACGCCAAGGGCTTTTCTGAGCATTGTTCATTGTTAATCACTGTCTTAAATGGGGGCATGTAATTATTTCATAATGTTTCCTGGGGTGCCCTTATAATGTTAGTATGATTTTTACATTAAAATTCATAATTTAGAAATAAAAGGCATTTTTCCAAGCATTTTAGCCTCTGATTTGAACGCTCTGTTTGAAGGGCGTGTCTGTGTCAGACTTCAGTGTAAACGCCCACTGCTGTGATTGGCTGTGAGTCTTCAGTGTAAACGCCCACTGCTGTGATTGGCTGTGAGTCTTCAGTGTAAACGCCCACTGCTGTGATTGGCTGTGAGACTTCAGTGTAAACGCCCACTGCTGTGATTGGCTGTGAGACTCCAGTGTAAACGCCCACTGCTGTGATTGGCTGCTGTGAGACTTCAGTGTAAACGCCCACTGCTGTGATTGGCTGCTGTGAGACTTCAGTGTAAACGCCCACTGCTGTGATTGGCTGTGAGACTTCAGTGTAAGCGCCCACTGCTGTGATTGGCTGTGAGACTTCAGTGTAAACGCCCACTGCTGTGATTGGCAGTGAGACTTCAGTGTAAGCGCCCACTGCTGTGATTGGCTGTGAGACTTCAGTGTAAGCGCCCACTGCTGTGATTGGCTGTGAGACTTCAGCGTAAACGCCCACTGCTGTGATTGGCTGCTGTGAGACTTCAGTGTAAACGCCCACTGCTGTGATTGGCTGCTGTGAGACTTCAGTGTAAACGCCCACTGCTGTGATTGGCTGTGAGACTTCAGTGTAAGCGCCCACTGCTGTGATTGGCTGTGAGTCTTCAGTGTAAACGCCCACTGCTGTGATTGGCTGCTGTGAGACTTCAGTGTAAACGCCCACTGCTGTGATTGGCAGTGAGACTTCAGTGTAAGCGCCCACTGCTGTGATTGGCTGTGAGACTTCAGTGTAAGCGCCCACTGCTGTGATTGGCTGTGAGACTTCAGCGTAAACGCCCACTGCTGTGATTGGCTGCTGTGAGACTTCAGTGTAAACGCCCACTGCTGTGATTGGCTGTGAGACTTCAGTGTAAGCGCCCACTGCTGTGATTGGCTGTGAGACTTCAGTGTAAGCGCCCACTGCTGTGATTGGCTGCTGTGAGACTTCAGTGTAAACGCCCACTGCTGTGATTGGCTGCTGTGAGACTTCAGTGTAAACGCCCACTGCTGTGATTGGCTGACATGTTTGCATATGAAATAGCTAACATTACATGTGGAAATCTCTCGAAAACTTTTACGTTTTTACTATTACAGCTATCGAGAATAACAAATTGTAAAAGTATTGATTAAAGCATTATATTTAGATCTATTCCATCACATGAAAGGTTGCAGTGATGAGCATTGATGACAGACAGTCTGTTGATCGCGTGAATGAAGTGATCTCATCATTGCAACGCAGTTTCTGCACTCTCACGAATGCTTTCACCAAATAACAATGCAAACATGATGTAAATACAAGAAGAGCTTCGTTGTGCAGTGTAACAGCATCATTGATTTCATAACGAGTTTTGGCAAATGTTCAGATTAAACTCGCGCTGTGTGATTGACAGCTTGTGCGATTGGAAAAGGAGCGTTCTTTGATCGCTTTCTGTATATAATTTAATCACAGTTTAAATAAGATTATTTTCATCGTTTATCGTTGATCGTTTAGTCACTGGCTTGATTTACTGATTCATAAACAGTATTCATACTTTGCAGTCACGTGACTACCATGGATACCTGGCGGGCAACAAACGGGTATTTTCAACGTAGAGTCCTGTAGTTCCAGGACTTTCTAGTAGCTATCAGGTCTGTTAGCGAGCTAGCTGCATAACTATGGACTAGGATTAACTCCAAGGCAGCTAAATTGTGTTAAGCAGACAAGGATTTTTGAGATAATCGAGCAGTAATAATTCCTCCGTAAATAATCTAGCTCTACTGTTGGGTCATCTCTGGTTCTCATTGAAAACCATAGATATCACAAACCTCAAAACAACCTATCACACACTTTTGTTGTTGTTAGCAAAATACGACAGCTGTTACCGTGCGTTTACACCGCCGCCGGCGAGAGCGTCAAAGTGCCCAGAAGTCATTCAAATGAATTTTGCCGCTCTCGCCGGCGGCGGGTTAGCCTACAGTTAGCCTCATAACACAAACAGCTGACTCGCCGAACCAGCTGGTGGCGTTGATTGACGAAACTACAGGGTAACTTAAAGACACAATTAATTACATGATCATACACCCATTGTATTCAAACAAATGTTGAAATTACCTTTGATGGAGTGATGGAATGATCACTGCACAGACGTGCATACTGTGAAGGTTGCATATCTCATCTGGTTAGTGCAACCAATCGCACAACAACTATCTGGCATGTCGTTTACACCTCGAAACACCAACTTTTGTATAAAAACTGGCGACATCCTGGCAAGATCCTTGACTAGTTTACTGGGTTTCGTTGCTGGAGAACGACGCTCTTGCCCGCCAGCCAGTACTTGTGACGTCACGTGCAAAGTATGAATTGAACGATTTTTTTGAGAAAGATTATCTGTCTGAACTTAAATAATTACACATCAGAAATCACTGATCACAGATCAGGCATTAGAATAAACATGATTACTTACATGTTTGTGGCGTTGCTGGCAGATCCATATCGTGAAAGTCTGTTTGCAAAGCCTGAAGAAAGAAGCAAAGAAATTGCGACTGATTATCAAATAATCCACAGTGAAATGCACCGAACGCACAGCAGTGACTTTCACATTGTTGGAAAAAACAAACACTTTCCTAGCATTAGGATCATTTGGAAGGTAATGGTATTGATCCTGTGTCGATCTTTACTCGTTCTCATGTCAGTATTCACTGCCGCTCCAAAGACGCGTGTAAGCGTTGGTATATTCTTTCACTGCACTATTACGTCATAATTCCTCACTTTTCAGATCCTGTCGTTCTCTGGCCTCGGTTTCAATAAAAGCAGTTTTTTGAATAACAAGGACGTTTTTAGTTTTGAAACTTACAGGGTATTTTTTATAGTATTACGACCTCCTATCTTACTGTCAAAAGATCATAGGAAAATTTGAATTCTCAGTTCATGACCCCTTTAACTGGAAGTGACGTGAAGCCAAGTTCACTGTCCCATACACAGAATTTGTGCTCTGCTGCATTTTACCCATCAAAACACACACACACACACACACACACACACACACACACACCTTGAACACACACCTGGAGCAGTGGGCAGATGTTGCTTATTGAAGGTGAAAGAGAAGGTAAAGGTCATTCAATCATTCACTCCTCCAACCACCTACAAATAATGCCAGACTGAGACTCGAATCCACATTATAGGCCACAACTGCCCCATTATTAGTTGTTGTTGATTGTAACACATAAAATTAGCTTTTACTGCTTCTTCCAAAGACATTATTTAGACATTCACTGCTTTTGTATTTTAGGTAGTTGCTTAAAAAACTACCATAATTTTTTTTTTTTATAATACCAACATTTCCCATGATTAAATATAAATCCTTGGTGGCCAGGTGCTGCACTTTTACGTATTTTACCCATCCAGCAACAGCATATTGATGATATACGTCTGTAGGCCTACTCTTGAAAGCCTTCAAGCGATCCCCGCTGTATGGGGAGTAGAGATGCGCGGATGGGCTATTATTTCATCCGCAACCGCATCACAAAACTCATCATCCGTCCGCCATCCATCCGCACCAACGTTTTTGACCAATTTTCAAAACCGCACCCGCCCGCCATCCGCTGATACAAGGCGCTGCTGATGACACCCGCGAGACTAGAAACCGCCCGCCAACCGCCCGAATTTAATTCAAATATTTTTTTTCGTCACGTCATCCGCCCGATCCGCGGTTTATCCGCGGAGTCCGCGGCTATAACCGCAAACCGCGCATCTCTAATGGGGAGGGGTTATGCACAGTATAAATATATATATCACGGAAGGCAAATTGGGGCAAGTCTGGGGCAGATAATAAAGCACAAAAGAAAACTGGCGCTAACAAATAAGGATCGGAGCCTAAAATTAAAATTGTATCCATGTATCTCTGTCTTTCTCTCTCATTCAAATGGGCAGTTGGGCGGCGCCGGGCGAGATCGGTCGTCAACGGCGTTCTATTTCAACGCATTCTCATCCTTTGGCGTCATATAGGTGACGCCATATGACATTTCGTCGAAATCTTACGCACGTGGCATCCTTTAGCGTCAATATAACACGCACTGTTATGGGTAGGTTTAGGTCTGGGGTCGGGTACGGTTATGACGCCTTGGGTTCTGCGTCTCATATTGATGCTAAACGATGCCATGTGCGTAAGATTTCGACGAAATGTCCAAAGCGTCACATGTATGACGCCAAAGGATGAGAACGGGCTGTCTATTTCTAGTGACTTAGGTGGCATCTATGAATAGCATTCTAAACTTTGTCGTAATTGTTTCAGTTTGAGAGTCTGATATAGTGGAAAAGTCTAATGCAAGTCAATTATTAAAGAATGAATAAAAAGGACAAAAAGCATTATCAGTAAATTAACCTTTACACCAAAGAGTAACAAGACTGAATCTATTGTAGATATTTCTTGGTTGATTTCAAACATCCTCCTTTACTGTTTACTTTTTAAATATCACACAACTTGGGCAAATATGTTGTTGAGATCAGATGTACATTTATTTAGAGTGCACACATGCTTCATTTTGTAAGAGATACTTTGGTCTTAACATCTACATCAGCTGGAAAACCATGATTATTACTTTATTTTTACTTTACATTACAATACGGTAACATACACACAAAAAAAGGCAATGACAATGGATGCAAATAGAATTTCACAAGACACAAAGAGAATCCAAACTCCAGTGAAAGTTGTTCATTTACAAAGACTGTTCATCCAGTTCATCCAAGGTCAGACAGAACCAGAAAACAAGGAGAATAGTTTGATTGAACATACAGAGCTCATGAAAAAAAAGTGAATACATTAAAAATAAAATGTTTGAAATACTATGGAAACTTCAGTATTTAATCACATATTTACATTTTCCTCCCTATCTTCTGCAAATTAAAATCTTTGTATGAAACACTAAAACCATAGATCCACAGTGGAAAATCTCAGAATATATAAGCATATGCTATAATTCACGACACCCTGACCACACACTTTCTTATACACTTTTAAAGATTTCATTTTAAAGAGTGTCAATAAATTGATAATACCAAGTTCAAGCATAATTTCAACAGATCTGTAACTCTCTGTTAATATCGTCTTTGGCACTTTTAATTTCATCCAGAGTCTCCTGCAATTGAGCGGCCGTTTCTTTCATCTGATGAACAAACTTCAAAGTTTCTGATTGAATGTTTTCTGCTTTTCTGCTGTTTTCTGGTTTATTTATTTCAGAGAGCTCTATTGAATCACAATAAATACTGTAAGCATCAAGAACAAGAAACAGAGTTGAGATTACGCCAGTTACTCTCCCAACCATCTTAAGTGTACTGGCAGCTTTTGCGGCTGTTTTCCCAATGCTAGCGGTTCGCAGTACAGCTAAAAGTTTAGTAATGCTCGAAACGGTTTTCAATGATCTCACACTTGTCATTATTGCCTTATTTTGCACAGAAAACTCTTGCTCTTCCTTCTGAAGCTCTTTTACGGTTTTAGAAATTGTATTCAGATTATCAATCATTGGCTGGATTGTGTTCTGGAAATCCTTGATGATCTTCTCAATATCTTCACGTAGATTGCCCTGCTGGATCATGTTAATGATGTTCGCTGTTGCTCCTGTTATTCCTCCAGCGACTCCGACTGCAACACCAACAGCAGAAACTGCTAAAGAAATACCAAATGTGAAGAATGATAAACCCAGACCCACTAGAGCCACGGTTCCTCCAGCCACTCCCATTGATGATCCCACTAAACTGCCCTCCGTATTGGCTTTGTGCACGGCTTCAAGCTTTCCAGTGATGCGTTTCAGTTCCTGTATTTTACTCTGCAGCTTTAAATGGTTTTTGTCATATTCAGAGTTCAGTTTCTTGATGCTTCCTTGCAGTTCATCATTAAGAGCTTCGAGTTTCCTGAAACATCAAAACTTACTTTTTAGAAGCAGACAGCACTGGACATTTGCTTAATATTATTTATATAAATATTCTATTGATCATTATGCAATTTATAATGGTCATATTTAACTTTTGCAATATACCAAACTTACAACAACACTAAGCTAAAAATGTGTAAGGGCTTTGGTTAATTCATTAGCTGTTAGAAGCTGTGCTATTCCTCATTGAATCATTGCACGAGCGCCCTCTACTGGTGGACCCGCGCAATTCACCCTTCTCAGGGAGTTTGATTGACAGGTGATCTGACCAATCATAATCCGTCATCCGCCAAACCCACGCAATTGGCTGGACTGGAATATATTTTTCTCATGCACCGTTATATAGGTCTACATGCTTGGGATGGTCGATAAAAATGAATGTAAAAAAAAATTACAAACAAAATAATATTGTTTAGTTTAACATTTAACCTCTTAACCGTCTCCAGAGCGTCGGCGCACTGAAGCGTTTTTTTTTTTATTTAGTTCAAATATACTATCAGATTTAATGTTATACCTTGACAAACTATACATCATTAAAAAGATATAAGACTCAAGATTCAGTATTTGACCACTATTGTATTCTGAGAAACTTATAGTGACAGTTATGTCTTAATTTGTGTCAGGAGTTATGAAATTAAAAAATGAGTCGTTACCTTTAATATGAATTATGAGCGTCAGCCGGTCTCATTCAGAAAAAAACTCCCGTGCGATCGTCATGACAGCGCTTGACAAAACAACGTCCCTCAGGGCTTTTAGCTCAAACATGTGCAGATTTGGAGAAATATTGATAGATTCTCATAGCTTTACATCAGACTTCTATAGACAGGAATAATATTTATTGAATTTATACCCAAATGCGTCGATGTAATCATTTTGAGCGCTGTATACTCTGTACTGTGTTATCAATTCATCCTGAAAGTGAGGGCGCTGTTTGCACAGAAGTCCATATATGGATCACATGAAGAAGAGCCATAATCATGTGACAATCAGGAAGTCCTGCCACAACAAAGCTATCCGAGATCGCTGTAAAGTGCAGATAAAGATGTTTTGAAGACAATAAACATGATTGCAATGATATTTGATTTACCTGTGTTCTTCGAGTCATGTCAGGTATTTTCATAATAATTGATTATATGTATAATGTAATGCTAATCGAGATAGACTTTCAAATTGTGCAGAATACAATAAAATAATATATTTTCTATCTGATTTTTTTATCTGAAGCCAAATCAGATTACAGAAAGTTATTTAAAACACTCGACTTGCGCTATAAAGTAAGTTTGGAGAACAAACATAGTTTTATTCTCATAAATTGTCGTGTATTGATGGTGTGCTAAGCTAACATGCTAGCTAGTACTGAGCACCTGCTACCTTACTTCGGTGTAATTTTTATGATTTTTTTCTAAATAAGAATGCTTACTGAAATGTTTCGTTTTTCAAAAAGGGCATTTGATACAGTTTCACTGTGAAGTGAGAACTTTTATAAAATAAATGAGGGATTGAAACAGTGTGAATTGCTAGTCGTTAGTGATTATAATGCAGACAAAAGAAAAGCATATTTAGAGCAATAAACTGGCTGGAGAGGTGTGAATATGTGCAGGGGAGCCTGAGACTGAATGGGACTCGTTTTTGCATCACAAAACAATAGAGGCAATAGACTGAATAGATGCTTATAAGAAAACAATAAACACCAGTCTAATCAAAATAAAGTCATATGACATGATCTTGAAAAACATTGAACTAAATACAGAGTTTTAGACTTATCATCTTCAGATTTTAAATATAACATGGTTAGACATGTGGCTTTAGCTGCAGTGCATTTCTAGATTGCTACAATGCCAACTTCAATTTTATTTTCATGAAGATGTTTCATAAAAATAAATGTATAATAACTTTACAAAACTTTGAAGCTATTTATAACTATTTTTTTTCATTATGATAATAATTAATTCTACATTTACAATAAACTTCCAGGTGTCAGCTTTCAAATGAGATCTTACTTGTGCTTTTAGTACAAAGGGTTCATGAACTGTATCTGTTTAAGTTTGGGAATGCCATATCTGGGGATTTTTCAAAAATGGGCTTGAAGCTTAACAGGTTAATAAATGCATTTTCTTTCAACTAAAGTTAAAGGTACAACATTTGATTTGTATAATATTAACATTATTGACATTAACTAATCAACTAACTCAAATCCTGTAATAACTATTATTTTCAAGTAAGCTAGTTAACACATGAAACCTGGTAAATGTATTATTGATAATAATCCATTAATTGTAAAGTTAATAAAGATCAGGAAATACTCACTGCAATGACACCGATGTCTCGTCTGGCTGATTCATTTCACCTGTGAACATTAAGCATTTTAAGAGGTTATAATAATAATGAAAAACTAAAAATATACAGTGCTTTATTTTTTCACCATAATATATATATATATATATATATATATATATATATATATATATATATATATATATATATAAGGTTATATTCAGACAGGCATTTCACGTAAGTCATTTGTATAGCGCTTTTCAAAATAAAACTCCTGGATTTAAACCTGATTACAGAAAATGTCTTCAATAATTTAATGTCTAAGTTTCAGGAAATCTCATCAATGTTAGAAAAGGATTTTAAATGTAATTGTTCAAATCTGAAGTATGTCAATTGTGTGTCAATAAAATAATTCAATTACAGCCATCAGCCACCATCAATTATTTTTGTTCTTTTTTTCACAAAAAAAGTCTTATGAAATGTTTAGCATGTTTTTGGCCAGTGTCTTAAAAAATATTTTTGCTCACATATTATTGAAGCACAACAGGGCATCCGTCAAAACATCTCCTGAAAAAAGGTTTTCAAGCAGTACTTCATTCAATTAATATTTTTTCTTTCAATTCAGTTTACTATTATTTGTTTTATTTTTTAAGTTATATTTTATTCGTTCAAAACAGTGTTAAATATAAATATTTTTCATTAAGATCTTAAATAAGAAAAATTTGTTTCAACGAATGTACAATTTCAAGGTTACACACAGGCCCGCGCATGGGCATTAAACATAAATCTCGACCAGTGACAGTCAGTCACCAGATCGCTCTTCAAGTCGCTCCGTGGATCACCATTTTCTTTCACCAGGCCAGACTTTGAGAATCAAACAACCATCAGAATCATCGCAGAAAAACTCTGGTAAGTGAAACAAACAACCATTTAAATCTGCTGTATTTAGTAGCTGTTAATTTTATGCCAGACATGGCGCTGACTTTCTCTTGTAACGTTAGATAAGCATGTAGCCTACTACGATAGTTTGAAATGTTAACTTGGTGTGTTAGCTAGCTGAGTTTACACAATATGTCGACGTAAATCAATTCCTGACCGATTTCAAAAGGGAACATACGTTTAAAGAAAACCCGTGGACTTTTTTGATTTTAAAATGGTAATTAACGTGAACGTTTAAGCATTGAACGGAACGTTATCTCAGTCAGCCATAAGAATAACGTTAAAACCGTTAGAACGGTTAACCTGATCAACTAACTTAAGTGAATAAGCTAATGTTACATGTTAAGGGACTGGCTTAATGTATGGATAATTATGACTGACGAAATACAACATTTATTTATGTCTAATATTGCTCCATTGGCAAACTTTTTTTTATTGCTGCATTGGCGCCAATCGGGCGATGTCGGTTGGTTTTCAAAAATAAATAGTAATTTTTACTATCTTGATGCAGGATACTGACATCGCTACAAAGAGGGAGATTGCACTTAAATGTCTCATCCTTTACATGGGAGAAGCAGTGGAGGACCTCATCAAAGATTTCCTGGTAAGGCAAGATTACTTTAGAGATGAGAAAATGCTTGCTATATAAGGCTGTCCACTTCCAAATTAGACATCAGACTATGTTCAGATATATGTCTAAAAACAGTCTGAAGGCTAATTTCAAATAGAGAAATGTGCAAGCAAGGGCTACCTTAATAGTTTACAGTAGGGGTGTGCGATATCAAGATTTGATCGTGGCCGATTAAAATGTCTCCACGATCTACTTTTGAAGAAATATCGTAGTATCGTGCATTCTATCGGTTGCAGTTCTGGCGCCTCCATCTCAACATACTGTACAACACAACGTATATTCACATCAAATGTTAACGCAGTGGAACGGGACACTACAGTTCATAAAAGTTCATTATTTGCATGTGGTCTTATATTCAGGCCAATATGGTATTAGCTGGCCTGAATATAAGAATATACGATATAAGGCCGTCGGAATATTAATGGGGAAAACCCAAGCTGTATCGATTGCTTAATCATTTTTCTTTTTTCTCCTTCTTAAATTATTTTCCAGGTGTCAGAGGAAGAAGAGGCTGGACAAATTCTTCAGCAAGAAACGATGGCAGTCTTCATCATCAGAGATGCACAAGCTGTACCCACAAATATTGGCATCATTCTTGAGGGTCAAGAGGTTCTGAGCAACTTGCCGTCTGTTGCAAATGCTGTTGCAATTCTCCTGGGCCTTCTTTATGCGTGCAATCTGGAATATCCCAAGACATTGAAACTGACATTTGAATATATCCAGAAAGTCATCATGGAGCTGGACCCAAAAGGCATGTCCAACAAAGTTAAAAGGCTCTATGACCAGCTCTACAATAGAGCTTAATTCAGGGTTCCCACACATCCCAGTTTACACCCGTAAGTGATGTTATGTTTGAGATGTCATGTTTGAGTGACTGGCTATGGTTCGGCGTTCTAAAGAAATAGGTTCAGTATTTCAGTAGTAGAACCTGTCATGCCTTGAAGCAGCCCAGTTCAGATACAATTGCGATGAGACTAGTTGGAACCTGCAACTGCTTGCAGTTTATACCTATGAGATGAGATTCTGTACCTTCATTCAAATTTCTTCTGTGTTTTTTTTTACGGTTGGATATTATTTGTAGCATCATAAAATACAATGAGGACAGAGATAGTGAGATACTTACCACAGCTGCATTTCTGATAAAACTGAGTAATTGTTCCATTTCCCTAATTCACTGCATTGTTCTCGTTAAAGGAACACGCTACCGTTTTTTTTAAATGGGGGTTATTCACCGTCTCAGTGCGTGCATTGTCTTTGTCTGGCAGCACCACCGCTAACTTAGCTTAGCATAATGAATGGAATCCTTTGTTGCCGGATAGCATGTCGTGAGTAAAAGTGATTAAATAAAAACAACCTAATTCTTTCTCGTGGTCTGCGCATTCACAACGAGTACAAATAGCGATGCAGATTAAGACTAGGCGATTTCCTAGGCAGATATTGATTTGGGACTATATTGGGATATCACGAGATATCACACGACTGATACATCATTCAGGTGTTGTGTGATATCTCTGCACCCAAGTAGTGCTTCGCCCCAATATAGTCCCAAATCAATATCTGCCTAGGAAATCACCTAGTCTTAATCTGCATCGCTATTTGTACTCGTTGTGAATGAAGGAATTAGGAATTACTCGTTGCGAGAAGGAATTGTTTTTTTTTTTTTACACTTTTACTCACGACATGCTATCCAGCAACAAAGCATTCCATTCATTATGCTAAGCTAAGCTAGCGGCGGCGCTGCCAGACTAAGACAATGCATGCACTGAGACGGTGAATAACCCCCATTTCAAAAAACGGTGGTATTCCTTTATGGCTGTAGTTTTCAGGTCAATGTTTGCCAGCTCAGAAGTTAAACATCTGACACTTGGAGCACTGAAATTGTGGATGTTGAAGTTGTGTATAAGATAATAAATATCAATGCAATGAAAATGTATGTCTTTTTTTATTATATTTTGGATAAGATTAAATATTAAGTACAATGAATGTTCCTTAATGGGAAACATGTTTTATTAAATCCATATATTTTTGTTTGTTTAAAATAAATAATTTCTATTAACTTATTTTTAAAAATTAGAAATAATTGTTTAATTAAATCGATATATATTCGAGAAAACAAATAATTTCTAATACATATTTCTTAAATGAGAAGTTTTGTTTTGATTAAATCTATATATTTTTGCTTAGATCAAAAATATAATTTAAATTAATTGACTTAATTCAACAAGAAAAATATACTTTGTGCCAGGTTTAAAAAAATAGTTTTAATAGACAGAGAAAATATTGGTTAGGGCAAGTTATTTATTTTTCATTGGCTCAAGTTATAAAATATAGATGTGAACCATTACCCTAAATTTTTTTAATTGGATGAATGAAAAACTTTTTTCAGTGCAGGATCCCAATATTTGGGTTTTAAGTCACATATTTCAGCTTCAACAAATTTTGTTTTTGGAGTCCTCCATAATGTGTCTTGTAAATAATTAAAATCAAACTCACCTGAAATCTTTCAAATCTGCTGTGCAGAATATATGAATCTCACAGAAGATTCAAGAGTTTTCTGCCTGCAACAAAATCTAAAATAACAACAAAAGTGCAACAATGTAGTGTTTAAACAATCAAAATGTATGATCATCCATCAATTGGAGACACAAACTGACTGTAAATAGAGACGTATGAATATTCCTGGAGCGAGTGAAGATAAATCTCTGACTGAAATGCGGCTCTATTTATGTCCTCCCAGCTTCATTTCAATATGAGTATATAGGGAACATGGCACTTTCACATCTCTAAAATGCTTTAACATTATCATTTTCATCTTTGCGGTTTGGACAGTTTAATTTCTCTTTCACTCTGTGTAATGTTTTCCTGGAAACAGCTTTTTTATTCTCTTAATGTTTTGTTGACCTTCACATAAAAAAAGTTAACTGATCAAAAGGGAGAATCAAGACATTTCTAATGTTACAAAAAAAGTTCAGTTGAAATTTTCTATTAATTTAAGAATCCTGAAAAAAGTGTCACAGTTTCCACAAAAATATGAGAAAACAACAATATCAGATCAGACACACTGAAATGTATCAATGAGACGAACTATCAGATATTTCAGGACACACTGAGCAGGAAAAGCTGTTTCACGTTTAAAAACGTTGAAGAACATCTAACTAAAACATTCCAGAATAAACATTCCATTAATGATGTATAAATAATATTTTTGTGTTAATGTTTTCAGAACATTATTAAAGACCAGAAAACTTTGAATGATCGCACTACTGTAATAACGTTTGTTCATCATCACGAGAATCTTCCCAGAACGCTCCCTCACTCAAAAAAATATGTTGGCTTTAATTAACTTTTTATGTCACCAGGTTCCACATAACTGGGTTACGTTAAACAAACATACTTTGTTTATGTAATTCAACATCATGGAATTAAGTCATTTTTAAGCGACCCAATTAAAGTAGTCTCAAAGTGAATTTTTAAAGGCTTCCTGACATGATCCAGGTATTTTTTATATTCATTCATCCATTAATATTTCACTATAGCTAGCTATTTGTTAGCAGTATTAGCATCTTAAACGCTAAGATTTACATGCTCCTTCAACCAGTTGAATATAATACACCAGGTCTGCCCCTTTTCTCATTTTCTCAAAAAAAAAAAAAAAATCCATACAAAACACTTAATTTTAACATTTATTCTCTCTTAACCCATTTGTGCCCACATTTGTCTGAATGGTTTCATAGTCGTGTTAATAGTGTCCTCTGTGAACATGTTCTGCATTTATTTTCCCCAGGTTTTTTTTGTTTTTTTTCTAGTAAATTGTATTTGAATGTGAATAGTTTCCGGTGGGCAAATATGTTGTATGCACCCCTTCAATGTCAAAGTTGAATAGGAGGAGAACATTTGGCATCTAACTCAAAATAACTGCTTTCAACAGATCCATCTTTATTCATAAACACATTTATTATGTATAACAGTCAAAGAGCATTCGATGCGAACCCCCAAAAAAAGCTGCATCTAGCTTACTGTAAAAAATTCACCCGTATATTTACAGTGAAATACTGGCAGCTGTGGCAATTTTACAGTTTCAACAATGCTGTAATTTCACAGTAAAGTACTGGCAGCTGTGGTTCCAGCCATTTACCGTAATTCTACTGTTTTTAATTTTACGGCTTGGCTGTAATTTCACAAAGTACTGGCAGCTGTGGTTCCAGCTATAATTCTACAGTATAAAAAAGTTAGAATATAAATACTGTTTTCTATTTACTCTATCTATTAACATCCCCATATGTATAGCATTATGTATACAGACATTCCAAACAGACTTTTTACTCAATGGAAAAAATAAAGACAAAATAGATTATGGTACAGTGCATTGTTTGCCATTTATTTAAAACAGGTAACAGGTTTTAACAATACATTACCGGTATTTAAGGGAAAAAAGTCAGAGAGGAACCTAGTCCTTACAAGAGAGGAACCAGTAGGCAAAAACAGAAACCTTAAAGAGGCAACAAAAAACGAACAAACATGCCAACATGTCACATCAGCAACCAGGCCAAAGAGGAAGTCTGGGTCTGAGACGAAAAGATTGAGAACCAATGGATAAAAAATCATTGATAGAGGCAAAAAACTGCTAAAACTTCCCAAACCTGCTTTTGAAAGATCTGGCCTGAGAGGAAAGAAAATCAAGAAAATCTTAGTGGTAAAATAAAGCACATGGCAAAAACTAGTCATCACATACTCTGCTAACACTTTTAAAAGAGACATAAAATGATCATGTTAATGTACGCAACTAATCTTAGTTAACTAATTTTTTTGACACTTAAAAAACAACAACACAACGACCGTGACATTAATTCACAAGACCCCAGTGGATGAATCACTGCTTCTCAATATCCCTCCTCGTCTCCATCCTATAACCCGGAAACCGATCGAGCTCAGCCATCTTGAAGGACATCTCAATTCTCTAATTGCACCGCGAGGATCGAGGAGTGTGAGGAGCTTCATGAGGAGCTATGAGCGAGGATACACGGGTAGTGATGGCCGTATCGATACTGACGTTGAGAATCGAAAGTATCGATACTCAAATAAAAATATCGATACTACAGGTTGTTGTTTTTTTTTACCAGTGATTTTGTTTATTTGACAAGAAATCTAATGCGTACAATATGTATTGAATTGGATGGATAACCTATGTTAGTGAATAATTGTGTAGTAGAACCACTTCCCTGCTTATCTGAACTGAACACGCAAGTCAGAACCAATCAATCACAGAGAGCGTTCACACACTGCCAACAATGCATTCAAACCACTAATATACACTCACCTAAAGGATTATTAGGAACACCTGTTCAATTTCTCATTAATGCAATTATCTAATCAACCAATCACATGGCAGTTAATTGCTTCAATGCATTTAGGGGTGTGGTCCTGGTCAAGACGATCTCCTGAACTCCACACTGAATGTCAGAATGGGAAAGAAAGGTGATTTAAGCAATTTTGAGCGTGGCATGGTTGTTGGTGCCAGACGGGCCGGTCTGAGTATTTCACAATCTGCTCAGTTACTGGGATTTTCACGCACAACCATTTCTAGGGTTTACAAAGAATGGTGTGAAAAGGGAAAAACATCCAGTATGCGGCAGTCCTGTGGGCGAAAATGCCTTGTTGATGCCAGAGGTCAGAGGAGAATGGCCAGACTGATTCAAGCTGATAGAAGAGCAACTTTGACTGAAATAACCACTCGTTACAACCGAGGTATGCAGCAAAGCATTTGTGAAGCCACAACACGCACAACCTTGAGGCGGATGGGCTACAACAGCAGAAGACCCCACCGGGTACCACTCATCTCCACTACAAATAGGAAAAAGAGGCTACAAATTGCAAGAGCTCAGCAAAATTGGACAGTTGAAGACTGGAGAAATGTTGCCTGGTCTGATGAGTCTCGATTTCTGTTGAGACATTTAGATGGTAGAGTCAGAATTTGGCGTAAACAGAATGAGAACATGGATCCATCATGCCTTGTTACCACTGTGCAGGCTGGTGGTGGTGGTGTAATGGTGTTGGGGATGTTTTGTTGGCACACTTTAGGCCCCTTAGTGCCAATTGGGCATCGTTTAAATGCCACGGCCTACCTGAGCATTGTTTCTGACCATGTCCATCCCTTTATGGCCACCATGTACCCATCCTCTGATGGCTACTTCCAGCAGGATAATGCACCATGACACAAAGCTCGAATCATTTCAAATTGGTTTCTTGAACATGACAATGAGTTCACTGTACTAAAATGGCCTCCACAGTCACCAGATCTCAACCCAATAGAGCATCTTTGGGATGTGGTGGAACGGGAGCTTCGTGCCCTGGATGTGCATCCCACAAATCTCCATCAACTGCAAGATGCTATCCTATCAATATGAGCCAACATTTCTAAAGTATGCTTTCAGCACCTTGTTGAATCAATGCCACGTAGAATTAAGGCAGTTCTGAAGGCGAAAGGGGGTCAAACACAGTATTAGTATGGTGTTCCTAATAATCCTTTAGGTGAGTGTATATATATATATATATTGAGACCGGCTGTCTGTGAAAGTCCTGTGAGTCGTGACACACACATCCAGAAAACGGATCTCTTTCACGCTTGAACAAACACACACAATAATGTAGAAATGTCTGTTTTGTCGAGTGTCCTCATAACATCAGTCTTAAATGAGTTAATAGTGTGAGATCGTCACACAGATCCGCGTGCGGCGGCTGGTTTAAAGGGACAGCAGCCAATAAAGCTTCTGTCAGTGAATCCCAGAACACAGCGAACAGAGAACATTACTCACTGCTCCTGACTGAAGAACTGTTGTAACTTTATTAAAGATCCCTGCAGAAACCCTGAAGCTGAACTCAATTTAATGCATTTAACTTTGTCTATCTTTATAATATCTGTTATTTAATTAAATTGTAGTGTTTGTTTTATGGAGAGCTTGATTAATCAGACCAATAATAGACTTTTATATACAACTTTTCCTTTTTATTATACAAAGGTGTCATGAAATGTGTACAAATGAATTAAACTGATCCGAGATCCGGTAAAAATAAATTTTAGACATCAATCGCTGGCGAGGAATACGCTTAAAGTATATTTGTTTAAAGTATTAGTTGTTTGTATTCAGTTTAATGATAATAAAGCTCTTTCTGTCCATTGTTGTGAACTTTTCATCACAAACAAAACTTGTGCACTTTTCCACTGTTAATGTTCATAAGAAGAAAAAATGTCAAACATACAGCATCATAGAGAGTGTGTTATTACACTATATGTGTTCATCAGTCAGAGAAACTCAATAAGTCGCTTGGTCACTTTTAAGACTATAAACGGGTCCTTAAAATAATTATAAAAACTGTTATTACACTCTTCCACCAATTATACAGTCTCACATAATCATCATTAATATTCATATTATGGTCTGATCAGTTAAAGTGCGATTTAGTTCAAATTTTATAAAATCATATTCTCTTCTGATGTCGGCCTCTGAAAGTGAAATATTTCAGTGAATATATA